TATGATATGCTAAGGCCGCTCAAACACAGGGAGCTGCCCCCCCCCCCCCCGTTGGTCAGTGCACTCCCACAGGGGGAGCACCACTCAGCCAGAAGCCAGGCTCACAGCTGGCAAGCGCAGCGGTGGTGGCGGGAGCGGGCCTAAGCCTGCAGTTGGACATTCCCGAGGGCTTCCGGACTGCAAGAGGGCACAGGCCAGGCTGAGAGAACCCCGCCCCCCAAGTGCATGAATTTCGTGCAAGGGGCTCGGCCCTTGCAGCCCTGGCCGGCCCTCACAGCCCCTACCGGTCATCCGGAAGGACATCCAGAAGGCCGTTTGGCTGTTCGATCTAATTAGCATATTAGCTCTTTATTATATAGGAGATATATATATATTACCCTACCCAGCACCTAATTGGAATGCTGGTCATTTATATAAGATGTCCAAAGGATGATGCCAGTGACTGTCAGAAACCAAAAGCTTTAAAAAATAAAAATTGTAGCCGAGGCCAGTTTGGCTCAGTGGATGTGCAGGAGGCAGCTGATCGATGTTTCTCTCTCATCGATGTTACTAGCTCTCTATCTCTCTCCCTTCCGGCACATCCCCAGTGGGAGATGTGCAGGAGGCAGCTGATCGATGTTTCTCTCTCATCGATGTTACTAGCTCTCTATCTCTCTCAATAAAAAATTGTAATATTATCTATTGTTTAAAGAACAAAAATGGCGGGGGCGGGGGGAGAAACCCACTACAGTTCATCTAAAAATTGTAATATTATCTATTGTTTAAAGAACAAAAATGGCAGGGGGGCGGGGGGAGAAACCCACTACAGTTCATCTAGTCACAGGAAGAAGGTAATCTTCCTAACCTTTCATTTTACAAGAAACACAAATTCAGAGGGAGCAAGTTATAGTCTCAGTGGCAAGGAGATCACTGTATACTATTCTCCATTTCTAAGGACAGTGCTCTTCAACTTGGAAAAGCCAACTGAGTTAGGGTCTTGTTGTTAATTAGGTTTAAACAATGGAAATTACTAATTTCGGGTGAAGGGAGCAAGAAAACAAAGAAATGGTACCACTTGTCAACATGCTATAAGTGGTGACTGTTTCTTCAGAGTCTTCTTTAGAAATGTTCGAAGTATCAAGAGCCATTCAGAGTTATTCTCGGATTCCTTAGTTGTCAAAATAATTTAATTTAGTGGGTCCTACACCTAATAAGTCATCAAAATCACAGAGGAAGCTTTTAAATGACAACAGTCTTTTATTCATTAGTTATTTACCATGCAAATATCTGTTGCCCACCTAACATGATGTGAAGGTAGTGCTTTGGCTAAACACCAGAAGATGAGTTGTCAAAGGTAGATAGGTGAGGCCCTGGACAGTTTGGCACCATGGTTTAGAGTGCTGGCCCACCAACTAAAGAGCCTCAGGTTCGATTCCCAGTCAAGGACATATACCTCAGTTGCAGGTTCAATCCCTGGCAATCCCTGGATCAGTTGGATGGGGCACAAACAGGAGGCAACCAATTAATGTGTATCTCTCTCTCCTCTCTCTCTTCCCCTTCCCCCTCCTTCCACTCTCTCTAAATATCCTCACACCCGGGGTGAGGATTTTTTTTTAAAAAGGTAGACAGGGCACTCTGAGGAAGTGTTTTCTTTCTTTTTTTTAAAGTTCATCTCTCTCTAATCTTTGAAACACCATAAATTGATTTGATTTGACATACAGCTGGCAGGTAAAGTCAGATACCACCCTTTCAAATCACTGAGAAAAGATAATTAAAGCTCTAATAGGAGACATTTCTAATTCAATCATAATGTTACAAGAAATAATCATTTAGAAAAACCTTACTTTATTTTATTTTATTTTTTTTAAATATTTTATGGATTCTTTACAGAGAGGAAGGGAGAGGGACAGAGAGCTAGAAACATCAATGAGAGAGAAACATCCAATCAGCTGTCTCCCGCACACCCCCCACTGGGGATGCGCCCGAAACCAAGGCACATGCCCTTGACTGGAATCGAACCCGGGACCCCCCAGTCCGCAGGCCAACGCTCTATCCACTGAGCCAAACCGGTTAGGGCAGAAAAACCTTACTTTAAAAAAATATATATTTTTATTGATTTCAGAGAGAAAGGGAGAGGGAGAGAGAGAGATAGAAACATCAATCATGAGAGAGAACCATTGATCGGCTGCCTCCTGCATGTCCCACACTGGAGATCAAGCCCACAACCCAGGCATGTGTGCCCTGACCGAGAATCGAACCTGTGACCTCCTGGTTCATAGTTCGATGCTCAACCACTGAGCCACACCAGCTGCGTGAAAAACCTTGCTTTTTAATAAAATTTTTTCACCAATACAATTCAACATTATTCAGTAAAATTTTTTGCACAGAAAAATATCCCCACAAAATATAAATAAAATACTTACTCTCGAATAGCTATCTTTTCAGAATGCCTTGAGGATACTGAAGACATGCTCTGAGACATCTAAAAACAACAACAAAATATAAACAGTTCATAAAGCTTATATAATTAAAGCATGATAGTTATTAGGTCCTATTGCAAAAATTTTGTTCAATGTTATACACACTGTCTCTGTCCCAGTTTTTAAGAGTCCAAGTTTATATGGTTCATAATAACATAATTCTTTTCCTTCAACAATTACTTTCAGTGGACAAATTTACCTACATTTTTACTTTATATTATTTTCTGAATCCAATTTGGCTGGATTAAAAACAATATAGAATTACATCTTTTTTTAAAATATATTTTATTGTTTTTTTTACAGACAGGAAGGGAAAGGGATAGAGAGTTAGAAACATTGATGAGAGAGAAACATCGATCAGCTGCCTCCTGCACACCCCCCACTGGGGATGTGCCCACAACCAAGGTATATGCCCTTGACCGGAATCAAACCTGGGACCCTTCAGTCCACAGGCCGATGCTCTATCCACTGAGTCAAACAAGTCAGGGCTAGAATTACATCTTATTTATAATTACATACTTGATCTTAAAAATTTCACAAGGAAAGAGATTGACACGTATACTTCCCAAGCAGAGTGGGCCCAAACCTGGTTATACAAATCAACAAAAGATGAACAGATCTCTCTTTGTTTATTAAGTTTAATTTTGATGCTCAAGCCATAACTGCTCCCTCCGCAGTTGATCCCCTGCGACCCGACCCGCCCAGGCCCTGCACAGAGCCATTTGCTGGATCGCCTCAGGCAAAGGCTAGATTAGCACCTCTCCAGAGGACAGAAGTTTTCCCACAGCTGATTCTCACAGCCAGTCGGCCTGGTGGTCAAATCCCTCTAGTATTAACTACAACAATCAAGGCTCAACTAGAACAAGACTGCGCACAAAGACCACAAGGGGGTACACCAAGAAAGCATAAGAAATGCGGAGACAAAAAAACATGACAGAAATGGAGGATATAGAGCTAAAAAACGCAATTTTGAGGGCTTTCAATAATGTGCTAGAAGCAGCCAATAAACTTGATGAGAGCCTCACGAAAACTAATGAGACCCTCGATGCTATGATAAAGAAACAACTAGAAATTAAGCATACACGGACTGAAATAAAGAATATTATACAGACACCCAATAGCAGACCAGAGGAGTGCAAGAATCAAGTCAAAGATTTGAAATGCGAAGAAGCAAAAAAACACCCAACCAGAAAAGCAAAATGAAAAAAGAATCCGAAAATACGAAGATAGTGTAAGGAGCCTCTGGGACAGCTTCAAGCGTACAAACATCAGAATTATAGGGGTGCCAGAAGATGAGAGACAGCAAGATATTGAAAACCTATTTGAAGAAATAATGGCAGAAAACTTCCCCCACCTGGTGAAAGAAATGGACTTACAGGTCCAAGAAGCGAAGAGAACCCCAAACAAAAGGAATCCAAAGAGGACCACACCAAGACACATCATCATTAAAATGCCAAGAGCAAAAGACAAAGAGAGAATCTTAAAAGCAGCAAGAGAAAGAGACTCAATTACCTACAAGGGAATACCCATACGACTGTCAGCTGATTTCTCAACAGAAACTTTGCAGGCCAGAAGGGAATGGCAAGAAATATTCAAAGTGCTAAATACCAAGAACCTACAACCAAGATTACTTTATCCAGCAAAGCTATCATTCAGAATTGAAGGTCAGATAAAGAGCTTCACAGATAAGGAAAAGCTAAAGGAGTTCATCACCACTAAACCAGTATTATACGAAATGCTGAACGGTATCCTTTAAGAAGAGGAAGAAGAAAAAGGTAAAGATACAAATTGTGAACAACAAACATGCATCTATCAACAAGTGAATCTAAGAATCAAGTGAATAAATAACCTGATGTACAGAATGAACTGGTGATTATAATGAATCAGGGACATAGAAAGGGAATGGACTGACTATTCTTGGGGGGGAAAGGGGAATGGGAGATTCGGGAAGAGACTGGACAAAAATCGTGCACCTATGGATGAGGACAGTGGGTGGGGAGTGAGGGCGGAGGGTGGGGCGGGAACTGGGAGGAGGGGAGTTACGGGGGGGAAAAAAAAGAGGAACAAATGTAATCTGAACAATAAAGATTAAAAAAAAAAATTTGATGCTCAGAATTCCATTTCCCTCTGAACACTATCTTGAATAATGCAGGATCTCAATTAGTGTTTGAAAACAAAAGAGAAAGAAAATACTACAACAATAATGACTAGAAAAGCCTAAAATTGTATAGCAACTGATGACCATAATCATCCAAATGGTCTAAATGCTGCTAGTAAAGATAAGTTTGACCATCCATTTTCAGAACACATGCAACTTTATTTAGATTTTTTTAAAAGATTAAGTTTTTGATAAATTTATTAAAATGAGGACTTGGATCAATTGAGAAAAACTTACCAGTCTTTGATTTAACCGCTTGTTTTCTTCTTCTTTTAATTGTAATGTCTGCAGGGGGAAATAAAAGAGACCCGTGGTTTGGTTTATCCTTGTTCTTACTCAAATCTAAACATGATTGACAAAATCTTTTAAACTTCAGATTACTTTCAGTTCCAGTACAAAAGTTAGTGGGAAATGTTTATTTATTGATCCTTTCCCACTGTTTTAATTATTTTCTGGATTAAAAAATGAGAACATTTTTAGTATATTTACCTAACCCAACCATTTTAAAAAGTTTAATGTGCATTAGAATCGTATCACTTGTGGAACTTTTTAAGTATGCAGTAAATATCTGAGCTCTATCCCCAAAGACTCTGCTAGTATGTCTGTTCTAAGAAGAGGTATCTGGATATATCCCAGTTGATTCTGATATGTGATCATGCAACCCTTCAATAGCAGCAAGAACAACAATGAATGCAGGTTAGAACCAAAGCTGAACAATTTTTACTAGGTTCTTATAAGCTTGTAAAGAGAAAAAAAAAATTGCTGAAAATCTTGAAAATAAAGGAATGAGAAGTGCTCTGTAAAACAATTGGGAGGAAACTACTTATTGCCAATGTTCATTTCAATTAATCTTTTATAAAAAAAACCACATCACTTTTCTTCATCATTCACATAATCTATTTTTGCCCAATCCAGGTAAGTATTCAATGCTTTGTTTTTGAAATACGCATACTTATGTTTTAATGAATTCTGAGCTACTGAATAAAACTATTATTGTACATAGTTATTTTATAAAGACCACTAACCTTTTTCTCTAATATAGACTTCATTTACTGGAAACATATGACAAATAAGAGTCTTGAAATGATATTGCCAACTGTTAAGCCACTTCTCAAAATATTAACTACAAAAATAACCATTAAAAAAAGATCTGCCCCAGCCGGCGTGGCTCAATGGTTGAACATCAACCTATGAACCAGGAGGTCACAGTTCGATTCCCAGGAGGGCACATGACTGAGTTGGGGGCTCAATCCCCAGTGTGGGGTGTGTAGGAGACAGCCAATCAATGATTCTCTCATCATTGATGTTTCTGTCTTTCTCTCCCTCTCCCTTCCTCTCTGAAATCAAGTATATATTTTTTAAAAAGATCTAATTTATAAACAGGGTATGTTTTCAGCATAAGACATATTTAACTGCATCCACATAATGAACATATCAAATATTGCAGTTAAAGAAAATAATTTACTTACTCGTTCTAACAGCATTATCCTCTGTTTTTCTTCAGATAGCATATGGATGTTTTCTCTAAGAGACAATGAATTATTTTAGTTTAAGTCTAAAAATTCTGGACTTTACATTCTTCAAAAGAATTTTAGAAATTTAACTATTACTACAAAGCACTTTAAAATTTAAGGATCTGAACTAAATTGTAGAAAGCATCCTGTTTAAGTTACGGTACATTTCAATGGTGTACATTCTTTGTAGCAAAGCTCCTGTAATTAGACCTATAAACCTTTTGAAATTACAAGCAAAACATTCGTTTATGCTTTTTTCTAGGATAATGTCTTTTATTTTATTATTTATTTATTATTAATCCTCACCCGAAGATATTTTTCCATTGATATTTTAGAAAGAGTGGAAGGGAGGGGGAGAGACAGAGAGAGAGCGACATTGAAGTGAGATAGACACATTATTTGGTGGCACGCCCCCAACCAGGGCCGGGGTACAAGCCTGCAACCAAGATACATGCCCTTGACCGGAATCAAACCTGGGACCTTTCAGTCTGCACTGAACCAATTCTTTTAGGAACCTCCATACTGTTTTTCCATAGTGGCTGCACTAATTTGTAATCCCACCAACAGTGTCTGAGGGTTCCCTTTTCTCCACATTCTTGCCAGCACTTGTTCATTAATGTGAGCTATTCTGACAGATGTGAGCTGACTTAACACCAAAAAATAAATAATCCAAATAAAAAATGGGCAGAGGACCTGAATGGACATATCTCCAAAGAGGACATAAACATGGCCAATAGATATTTGAAAAGACGCTCAACATCACTAATTATGAGAGAAATGGAAAATTTAAATATTAATATTTACAACTTGAGACTTTATTAATTTGACTAGAGGCCCGGTGCTCGAAATTCGTGCATGGGGGGGAGGGGGGGGGAATGGGGCGCGGAGGTGTCCCTCAGCCTGGCCTGCACCCTCTCCAATCTGGGACTCCTTGGGGGATGTCTGACTGCCAGTTTAGGACCGATCCCACAGGGGCAGTCGGACATCCCTCTCACAATCCAGGACTTCTGGCTCCTAACCACTCGCCTGCCTGCCTGCCTGATTGCCCCTAACCACTTCTGCCTGCCAGCCTGATCGCCCCCTAACTGCTCCCCTGCTGGCCCCGTCACCCCCAACTGTCCTCCCCTGCTGGCCCCGTCACCCCCAACTGCCCTCCCCTGCCGGCCTGATCGCCCACAACTGCCCTCCCCTGCCGGCCTGATCGCCCACAACTGCCCTCCCCTGCTGCCCATCTTGTGGCAGCCATCTTGTGATGACGTGGGGGCGGCCATCTTATGACGACATCGTGCGACGCCACCTAGGCTTTTATTATTACAGGGGTCCTCAAACTTTTTAAACAGGGGGCCAGTTCACTGTCCCTCAGACCGTTGGAGGGCCGGACTATAGTTTAAAAAAAAAATATGAACAAATTCCTATGCACACTGCACATATCTTATTTTGAAGTAAAAAAACAAAACGGGAACAAATACAATATTTGTATTTGCATGTGGCCCGCGGGCCATAGTTTGAGGACCCCTGATTTAGGATATGTAGTTAATTTTCAAAACTGTTTTTCTATTGCTTTATTTTTTTACTTTTTGGTGAGAGGAAGAAGTGTTCTACCCTAAATATGTCTATAAAATGTTTTCATTTTACGCCCTAGCTGGTTTGGCTCAGTGGATAGAGCATCAGCCTGTGGACCGAAGGGTCCTGAGTTCAATTCCGGCCAAGGGCACGTACCTTGGTTGCAGGCTCCTCCCCTGCTCTGACCCTGGTCAACACTTATGCAGGAGGCAACCAATAGATGTGTTTCTCTCACATCGATATTTCTCTCTGTCTTTCCCTCTCTCTTCCACTTTCTCTAAAAATCAGTGGAAAAATATCCTTGGGTGAGGATAAAAATAATAATAATAAAAAGTTCTCATTTTAGCCCTGCTGGTGTGGCTAAGTGGTTGAGTGTTGACCAAGAGATAAAAGTTCGATTCCCTGTCAGAGCATATGCCTGGGTTGTGGGCTCGATCCCCAGTGTGGGGCATGCAAGAGGCAGCCGATCAATGGTTCTCTCTCATCATTGATGTTTCTATCTCTCTCTCCCCATTTCTTCCTCTCTGAAATCAAATAAAAATATATATTTTCTAAAAGTTCCATTTCAGTTTTAATCATATTTAATTCAGTCACATTTTAAAGCACCTATAAATTAACAATTGTTTGTTGTGATCGGTGTCCTCTCTATGTATAAAATTTCTTAACTTTTCTAAACCGTTACTTTTATGTGGCTTATATATTTTTTCATTATTTGCCTTATGTATCTTTCTCAATTGCATTAAATCAAATATTCTATATTAATTTTTCTTTAGATGCTTTTTTTGTACATAGAATGCAGTTGGATGCTTTTTTCCCAGACAGGTTTTATAGAGAGGTTAGTTTATTTTTTCACATACATTTGGACTTGTTTCTGTCATTTATGTTTTCTAATGCCATGGTCTCTATATATGTTCATGCTTTCCGTTTTCAAATTACACTTATTTGTTCTATTTTTCACGTACATTCTGAAGCCTCATACCTTTCCAGGTCTCAAGGTTAACCAGTTTCTAGTCCCTTCTTTTGAACTAAACAGAAACCTACATTCATTTTTACTTTTCAAAAAACTCCTCTGCCTTTCCCCAATACACCCTCACCAAAATGAATATATTCACTACTAGAGTAATGCCTTTTCCTCCTAGGTTATGGGTCCCAAAGTTTAAACACTCCTGTAAATAAGAACAACTTAATACTACTATAGCAACACTCATCCTGGCAGTCTATGAAAATATGCCAGAGTGATTCATAAGACACACAATCAGTCATATTAAAATATTTGTCATGTTTATAGCTTAAAGAATTAAAATGGCACAACTTTTAGACATAAGAGCTATCAACCAGTAGTGCTAAATATATTTCCTACCTCCAGAACTTTTAGTTTACACTAGTGGCTTAAAAGCCTAATATTTGAGACAGTTCAAAAAGGTGTACTTACTGTACGGACATCATGCTTGTCTCCATTGCTGAGTCCACTCTTCCTTCATCTTGTGTTTCGATGGCTGACTTCTCCGTTTCACCTGGGAGTTCAGGTGCACAAGCTCCATAAAGTTCTGGGGCTGTCGCTACATACGGTGAAGGTACAAAACTGCTACCACGCAGCTTACTGACTTCTTCCTCAAGTTTTTTCTTTTCTTCCAGCAAGCGAGCTCGATCTTCAGATAGGGACTCTATCAAATCTAAAGAGCACCCCAAGTTGAATTAAGCATTACAGAATATTCTTAAATGATTTCTAATTTTAAAACAGAATTAAAAATAATATTACAAAACTTTACTAACCTTTATCTCGCTCTTGCTGCTGTATTGTACTTTTCAACTTATCACTAAGATCATTAATTATGTTTTCTTTTCTCATTTTCTCTCTTGTTAAAACAGTGTTAAAGTTGGTCTGGAAGACAAAATGATTAAGTACATAAATTGTCGCCCTAACCAGTTTGGCTCAGTGGACAGAGCTTCGACCTGCCGACTGAAGGGTCCCAGGTTCGATTCCGGTCAAGGGCATGTACCTTGGTTGTAGGCACATCCCCAGTAGGGGGTGTGCAGGAGGCAGCTGATCGATTTTTCTCTCACACTGAAGTTTCTAACTCTCTATCCCTGTCCCTTCTTCTCTGTAAAAAAAAAAAAAAATCAATAAAATTTATTTTTTTAAAAATTGTCTGCATGCACATAGAACCTTTCAAATATTTCTGCATGTTACGTTTATATGTGGGGAAAAAAGTGCAATTTATAAATGTTTATTTTTTTAATGAAAATGCTATACTGTAGTAAATACAATGTTATTGCATTTCCCTGGTTCCATATTAAGATAATATTGTTCACATATTTATTGTCAGAGGAAAAGCAAAATTTGGGGAAAAGAAAATGATCAACAAATTAGCAAGTGCTATTTTATCTATTCTTTTATTAATCTTCCTGCCTCTGGAAGCTTCTTGTCTTTAGCTAAATCTTGGTTAGCACAATAACATTTCAATAGAGATTTTATCGCATCTCCATCTCTTCTCTGTATATTTCAATGGCCACTGCACATCTGCTTTATGGCCAGACTTAATGGTCTGGCCCTCATTTATCTCACCAGCTTTACCACTCACTATTGATCAATATTAATAACTGAATCAGCGATGTTCAATAACAATCAACTGTAATCTACCAACAGCCTAACATTAATAGGAATTATAAAAAGTAGCCCTGACTCTGATTTGGAAATTATTCCCGGAGTCCACTAGTGTTAATAAATGGGGTCCCTCCCTTTATCTAGGAAGCGTGCTTGGTATTTCTTTGCTCTTCTGTAACATATGGTTCCCTGACCGAGAAGCTAACGGCATTTTGGCTTTGTTTAGTCTCCGGTGAGTGGACAGGGTTTGGGGCCTGGGGGCACGAGACAGGCCTCCTGAAGGCACCCGCTTCTGATTTTAGCAGAATTGAACCTGGGGGAACTCCAGGCGCTCCCAGACCGGCACTCCCAGACCTCAGCCCAGGACCCGGCCAGCATCTGGAGAAAGTGGACGGACACCTCTGAACCTGTCGACAGAATCGGTAAGTACCCAGGGCCAACATCCAACAAGTCACTTCCCAGATGAACTATGCAACTCTACCCCAAGGCTGAAAACACCACCTACCTCTGGTGCCCCCTGCAGGAACATTCTATGTGTGTGAGACCAGTGCTTACCTCTGCCTTCCTGAAATCAGAACTACCTACAAACCCTCCGAGAGGAAGAAACGGGATGCTAACCCCTTTGTCATCATCCCTTTCCAGCCGGAAGTAGCTAAGAGCGGTCGTCACCTCTGTTCACTATAACATCCGGTCGTTGTTGCTCCACAAGGCTAAAAGAAGCTTGTGGGACAAGGGGGGTGGGGGAATGAGGAGGAAACTGGTCTTGCAAGGCGTGTCAGGCCATAAAAACTGTGAACAATGCATTGCCCTGGGGTTGGGGAAGGTTGTTATCGCTGGCCCCAAGACGCCCCAAGACAGAGCATGGACACCTGGGAGCCTTCCTGTAAGCCCATGAAAGGGGGTGCAAGACATTAACTGCAAGACAATGACCCCAGAAGGATATAAATAGCGAAGCCTCTGCATGTTACTTCACTCTGATTTGGAAATTATTCCCGGAGTCCACTAGTGTTAATAAATGGGGTCCCTCCCTTTCTCTAGGAAGCATGCTTGGTATTTCTTTGCCCTTCTGTAACACTCTCTGTTACAAAAATTTGCCAAAGGAAAATGCCTTAGATGGTAATTGGCTTTGAAATCTTATAGTTGTTAGAACATAAATAATAAAAATAGCTAAAATAAAAAAATAAATAAAGTAGCTCTAGCCGGTTTGGCTCAGTGGATAGAGCATTGGCCTGCGGACTGAAGGGTCCTGGGTTTGATTCTGGCCAAGGGCACATGCCTGGGTTTCGGACTCAATCCTCAGTGGGGGGCATGCAGGAGGCAGCCGATCAATGATTCTCATCATTGATGTTTCTCTCTATCCCTCTCCCTTCCTCTCTAAAATCAATAAAAATGTATTTTTAAAAAAAAGAATTATAAAAAGTAAAAAAAATAAATTTTGCTGATGCAATTTAGAAAAATAAAATTTTAAGATTATCATCTCAGTATAAACACTTTAATTTTGCAAAAGAACTTACCTGAGTTTTAAAGAGATTAAGAGATGTACTTAAGATCACATAGGTAGTTAAGAAACTAGAAATAGCCCTAGCTGGTTTGGCTCAGTGGATACAGTGTCGGCCTGCAGACTAAAGGGCCCCACGTTCGATTCCAGTCAAGGGCACATGCCAGAATTGCGGGCTCAATCCCCAGTAGGGGCTGTGTAGAAGGCAACCAATCAGTGATTCTCTCTCATCATTGATGTTTCTATCTCTTTCTCCCTCTCCCTCTCCCTTCCTCTCTGAAATCAATAAAAATATATATTTTTAAAAGTAACATTTAAATAAAAAAACTAGAAATATAATTCACATTTCCTAATTTATAATCTAAACTGTTTCATTTTGAAGCACCTGTCCATGTGACATTATGACTTGTAAAAAAAAAATGTTTTTCATCATGAAGAAGGTATTTAATAAATATTAACAGGGTCAATGTAGGAAAATCACTTCTAAGATATCATAAACCTTAGCTGCACAAAGAAATTATATTTTGCAATTTATGTTGCCTTTCTTTAACCTGAAATAATGAAATGGGGCAGGAGAACATACCTGCTGTTCAGCAATCAAAGATGTTCGAACATTTTGCATTTCTTCATTTTTTCTTTTCTCTTGTTCTTCAAGTTGTTCTAAAAACTTAGCTTTTTCTTCCTGAAGCTTTTCTTGAAGTTCAGCAACCAGGCTTGAAGAATCTTCTCTGGTAGATTCAATGGCAGAACTTGAAAATTAAATATAGTATTGGGTGTTTTTTTTCAAATTTGCAGATATAATCCCAAATTACCAAATACTATAACTAGCTAACATCAGAAAAGTTACATATCTTCAGATCTAACAGTGGTTATTATCATTATTCGCAAATGACATGACATTGTACACAGAAAACCCTAAAGACTCCACCAAAAAACTACTAGATTTAATAAAGGAATTCGGCAATGTAACAGGATACAAAATTAACTCCCAGAAATCTATGGCATTTCTGTATACCAATAATGAACTCTGAAAGAGAAACTAAAAAAACAAAAACAATCCCATTTACTATTGCAACAAAAAAATTAAAATACTTAGGAATAAACTTAACCAAGGAGGTAAAAGACATACTCAGAAAACTATTGGAAGTTGAAAAAAGAGATGGAAGAAGTTATAAACAAGTGGAAGAAAATAGCGTGTTCATGAATTGGTAGAATCAACATCATTAAAGTGTCCATACTACTCAATCTATAGATGTAATGCAATCCCTATTAAATATCAACAGCATATTTCACAGACCTAGAACAAATACTCCAAAAATTTATATGGAACCAAATAGACACAGCAATCTTAAGAAAGAAGAACAAAGTTGGAGGAATCACAATACCAATATCAAGTTATACTACAAAACAGCCTAGAACTGGCACAGAACAGGCATATAGATCAATGGAAAAGAACAGAGAACCCAGAAACTGACCCAAGCTATTATGCTCAATATCTGACAAAGGAAGCAAGAGCATACAATGGAGTAAAAACAGTCTCTTCAATAAATGGTGCTGTGAAAATTGGGCAGATACATGCAAAAAAATGAAACTAGACCACCAACTTACATCATACATAAAAATAAACTCAAAATGGATAAAAGACTTAAATGTAAGTCATGAAACCATAATAATCCTAGAAGAAACCATAGGCAGCAAAATCTCAGGCATCTCTCGTAGCAATATCTTTACAGATACATTTTCTAGGGCAAAGGAAACAAAGGAGAAAATAAACAAATGGGGCTACATCAAAATAAAAAGCTTCTGCACAGCAAAAGAAACCATCAACAAAATGAAAAGGAATTCCACTGTTTGGGAGAACATATTTGGCAATGATACATCTGATAAGGGGTTAATTTCCAAAATATATAAGGAATTCATAAAACTTAACAAAAAGACAAATAATCCAATTTAAAAATGGGCAAAAGACCTAAATAGACACTTCTCCAAAGTGAACATACAGGCGGCCAAGAGATATATGAAAAAATGCTCAAGTCACTGATCATCAGAGAGATAAAAATTAAAATGACAATGAGGTATCATCTCACACCTGTCAGAATAGCTACCATCAACAAATCAACAATGGATAAGTGCTGGCAAGGATGTGGAAAAAAGGGAATCCTAGTACACTGCTAGTGGAATGCAGACAGGTGCAGCCACTGTGGAAAACAGTATGGAGTTTCCTCAAAAAATTAAAAATGGAACTCCCGTTTGACCCAGTGATCCCACTTCTAGGAATATATCCTAAGAAACCTGAAACACCAATCAGAAAGGATATATGAACCCCTATGTTCATAGCAGCAATATTTACAATAGCTAACATTTGGAAACAGCCCAAGTGCCCATCAGCAGATGAGTGGATAAAGAAGCTCAAATTTTTAAATGATACTTTATCAGTAAAGGAACACACACAAGAAAATTACACACTCCCACCTTTGCATATATTAACACCCTAACGAGCCTGGAAATTAGAACTCAAAAAAAGCTGATACATTTGTTCAGTTGGGAATTTCCATACTATTATACCCAGAACTTGAAATAAAGAATCTCTGGTTGTTACCCCACCATTAATAAACTGTGTGTGTAGCAAAAGGTTGTATTATACTTTATGTTTCTAGTAACCAGGAAATCCTCACTGAATACAAACTAGGTTGTCTTGATGCTTGTACTCTATCCTATCATTAACTATATTTGATTTGGTCTAATAAACAATTGTTTGTCATGGGTTTTTGAAACTCTTCTTTTGGGATTAAAATTTAAAATTTTTAATGTTCCATACTCTCCCAGATCTGTATAAACTACTCCTTAGAAGCATGACTATGAACAGTATAGAAGTAGATTTTCAGATAGTCTACATTCATTCTCTTCATACACTGGAGTATAAGAAAGCCCTTTTCTAAAGATTTGAAAAGAAAAAAAAAAGATAGCCCCCTCCCCAAAAATTCTCTAAATAATGTATACTATTGATTTAATTTTATCAGTTATATAGGAAAGTTATTTTAATTTTGCATTTCTTTAACCTCAAGTAGACTGAACAGCTATTCACATATAGGCTATTCATATTCTTTGTTCTGTCTATTCATATCCTCCGCTCGTTTATCTAATGAATTGTGCCCTTTTTAAAACTGACGTGTGGCCCTAACCGGTTTGGCTCAGTGGATAGAGTGTCAGCCTGCGGACTGAAAGGTCCCAGGTTCGATTCCGGCCAAGGGCATGTACCTTGGTTGCGGGCACATCCCCAGTAGGAGATGTGCAAGAGGCAACTGATCGATGTTTCTCTCCCATCGATGTTTCGAACTCTCTATCCCTCTCCCTTCCTCTCTGTGAAAAATCAATAAAATATAAAAAATAAAAATAAAAAAAATAAAAATAAAAACAAAATAAATAAAATAAAACTGACGTGTGGCCCTGGGCAGTGTGGCTCACCAATAAGAGCGTCAGTCTGGGCACTGAAGGGTTGCAGGTTCCATTACCAGCCAAGAGCATGTATCTCTGTTGTACGGCCCTGGTTGGGGCATGTGAGGGAGGCAACCAATTGGTGTCTCTTTCTCACATCAATGTTTCTCTTTCTCTTTTCTCTTTCTCTTTCTCTTTCTCTCTCTCTCTCTCTCTCTCTCTCTCTCCACCCCTACCTTCCATTCTAAGTATCAATGGAAAAAATATCGAGTGCAGATATTAAACAAACAAAAAAATTTGACTTATGAAAGTGTTCTTTCCTCTGCACGAAAGAGAAACTGAGAACTACATTATGTAGAATCCCCATCCCAGTAAGTTCTTGGAGGTTCAAGTTTGTCCACAAAAGATACCCACACAAAATCTGGAGTGTTAAAGAGAGTCCCATGTTTCTCCAGAGATGGCTGTGCTCTGACATGTGGCAACTTAAAATTCATAAGGGGTTTCTAAGCAAACTACCTGATTGGTGTCTCAGTAGACAATTAGTAGAAGTCTCCTAAAAATTGTAGGCTTCCTGCCCTAGCTGGTTTGGCTCAGTGGATGGAGTGTTGGCCTGCAGACTGAAGGGTCCCAGGTTCAATTCCAGTCAAGGGCACATGCCCGGGTTGTGGGCTCGATCTTCAGTGGGGGGCATGCAGAAGGCAGCCAATCAATGATTCTCTCTCTCTCTCTCCCTCTCCCTTCCTCTCTGAAATCAATAAAAATATATTTTTAAAAAGTTGTAGGTTTCCTAATCAGCCAACACTTTGGTGCTTCAGATGACTCTGAACCTATAGACTTCCAGGATATTGACTCCCTTACTCTTCCCTTTTACCACCCACCTCTCCCAAAGTTCATTAAGTTCTAATTCTAATATTAACTCCTTTAACCCTCTGCGGTCCCATTTTATTTTTGGAATTCAAACAGTCTGGTCCAAATTAATTGACAGGATTGAATGTTGAACCGGTTTGTGGTGTCGACCTCAGCCTCAACGTTGGACCTACTCCTAGCACCTGGTCTGTCGAGTCAGCCTCCACGTTGGACCGAAAAGGGTTAATCCTATATAATAAAAGGCTAATATGCAATTAGACTGAATGGCCAAACAACCGGAACCGAACAACCAGTCACTATAACGTGCGCTGACCACCAGGGGGCGTGCGCGGAACGTGGCGGGCGTTGCGTGTAGCGGGATGGTGGAGCATGTGAGCAGGGGCGCCAGACCAAGGCGGGGCATCGGTCACTGTCATCGGGGTGAGCCTCTGGTGGTTACTGAAAATTCTTTGCTCCAGCGTGCCATGGTCTCGCCCGGCACTCACACCCACTGCCGGCACCAGAGCCGCCGCTCACACCCACTGTCAGTGCCAGGCCCACTCGTACCCGCAGCCAGAGCTGGTGCCGCCGCTTGTACTTGCTGGCCCTGATCGCCCCTGAGGGCTTCTCCACCTTCCCCTGCTCCTCAGGGGCGACTGGGGCAGCAGCCACTGCTCGCACCCGCCGACCACGCTGGCCCCGCTTGCACCTGCTGCTGGCACCAGCCCCAATCGCTCCGCACCATCAGCAGATACAAATGGGGATGGTGCGGTCAGCGCGGCGGCAGCGGGAGCAGGGCTGCCGGCAAAGAGGGGACCAAGGGCTGCGGCAGGATGGGCCGAGACCCACCCCTGTGCCCACCACAGCCTCGCAGCCCGCAGTTCCTTTCAAGGTACATGAATTCGTGCACTGGGTCCCTAGTCTTGAAATATGTAAAAGAGGTTCTGGCCCTGGCCAATATGGCTCAGTTGGTTGGAGCATCGTCCTATACACCGAAAGGTCATGGATTTGATTCTCAGGGAACATACCCAGATTGTGGTTCAATCCCTGGTCAGGTGCCGAAGGGAGGCAACTGATGCTTCTCTCACAGGGATGTTTCTCTCTCCCTCTCTCTCTCCTTCTCTCTCTCTCTCTCTCCCCCCCTTTTCTCTCTCTCTAAAAGCAATAAAAAAGCAACAAAAACATATCTTCAGGTGAAGATTTAAAAAAATAAAATAGGTTTTATTTCTAAGCTCAATCCATAGATAGATACAAATATAATTGTAGGGAAAAATAAACTCTAAAGATGGGAATCTGGAATTCTCTGATGTTTCTATCTGAAGGCAGTAATGACCTCACCACCAGTGCAAAATGGAACTTTGGTAGACCAGGGCATTCCAAGTAGAACTGCTAACAACGGTAGTTATCTGGGATCAAATGGCTAAAGGCAAGGTTTTGGAGATGTCCCAGTTGTCCCTCCAAATCTCAC